AAATCAGATAGTTGGCAAGAAGTCTATTGAGGGGAATGATGAAGTATGTGGTGGTGAAGTGCAAACTGCTACAAATGTGAAGCAGAGTACACTTTCACGTTCTTCTGGAGAGCTGATAGGGGAAAGAAATGAGCAAAGTCCAGTGCAACTGGAAGTGGGAGCTGTGAAGTCAATGAATCTGCAGAGTGAGATTAGTACTGGCACAGGAGATAAAGAGATGATGCAAAAGGCAGCAGGGGGAGAATCTTCTATAAGTAAACCTCTCTCATGATATATCTTTCTTCATGGAATGTGAGGGGTTTAAATGACCCTATAAGACAAGTAGATGTTAAGAAGTTTATATGTTCAAATAAAGTCCAATTTATGGCTTTATTAGAAACTAGAGTGAAACAAGAGAATAGTAGTCGAGTAGTGCAAACTTTTGGTAGGCAATGGGGATGGTTGAATAATTATAGCTCTCATCCTAATGGTAGAATTTGGATATTATGGAATAAAACTGCATTGAGGGTGACTAAAGTAATTCAAACAGACCAATTGTTGCATGTTGAAGTATGCTCTGCAGTTGGGGATGTTAAATTTTTGTGCACAATAGTCTATGCTTTTAATACTTTTGATGGTCGACTAGCATTATGGGATCAAGTTAGAGCTCTAGACGTTGAAAATGTGCCATGGATAATTTCTGGAGACTTTAATACAACTCTAAATTATGGTGAAAGGGTGAAGCCTAGTGGAGTTGTTTGGGGAGATACCTCTGAGCTCAAGGATTTTGTCAGTAGAATGGAGGTTTTTGATTTGCAATTTTCAGGTGCTTTCTTCACTTGGAGTAATAAGCAAGGGGAAAATGACAGGCTGTGGTGTAAGCTGGACAGGGTAATGGCTAATTCATCATGGGTTAGTGCATTTCCAAATACTTCTGTTGTCTTTCTAAACCCACAATCCTCAGATCACTCACCCTCTTTAGTGACTGTGGATGTATTGATGAACGAGAAACCAAGGCCATTTAGATTTTGCAATGCTTAGTCTAAGGATGAAAACTTCCTTGATTTGGTTAGGGAAGCTTGGAGTGTGGATGTTCAGGGCTGCCCTATGTTTGTTGTAGTGCAGAAATTGAAATTGGTAAAACAGAAGATGAAGCAGCTACATAAAAATAGATATGGAAACTTGGAGGGAAGAATAAAAGATATGGCAGCAGAGCTACAAAATGTTCAAGCTTCCATGCAGAATGCTTTATTTGATGAGACTCTGGCTGCAAAGGAAAAGGAACTTCAACGTGAATTAACTAAGCTTGAGAGAGCAAACCTGTCCGTAATTGCCCAGCGAGCTAAAGTAATTTGGCTAAAGGAGATGGACTCTAATTCTGCTTATTTTCATGCTAAAGTAAAGGAGAGGCAGCATAGAAGTGTTATTAACTCCAGCCTGAACAGTGAAGGAGTTAGAGTGACCCAGCCTGAACTTATAGAACAAGAGTTTTTAATGTTTTATCAAAACTTGTTTGGAAAGGCAAAAGAAGGTGTTCAAGCAGTTGATATGAATGTTATTCGCAGGGGCAGAGTGTTAACTACTAAAGAGTCAGAAGAGTTATGCAGGCCATTTACTGCTAAGGAAGTGGAGATTGCCCTATTTTCAACTCCTTCTAACAAATCACCAGGGCTTGATGGATTCACTTCAGGGTTCTATAGAGCAGCCTGGTCAATAATTAAAAATGATGTCACGGCCGCTGTGTTGGATTTCTTTGACAGTGGGAAAATCCTCAAGCAAATTAATGCCACCAATATCACTATTGTTCCAAAGGTGAGTTGCCCAAATGTTGTCAGTGATTATAGGCCAATAGCTTGTTGTAATGTCATCTACAAGGTGATATCAAAGCTCTTAACTTAGAGGATCAATGAAGTGCTGAGCATGCTGGTTAGTAGTAATCAAACTGCATTTGTGAAGGGCAGATCTATAACAACAAATTTATTGATTTGCCAAGATCTGGTGAGGAACTACCATAGAAGTAGGGGGCCAGCTAGATGCTTAATGAAAATTGATCTACAAAAAGCATATGATTCAGTGGATTGGGGATTGGGGTTTTGTTATTGCAATGTTAAGAGGGCTGAACTTCCATGATAGATTTATTAATTGGCTTATGCTTTGTGTGTCTACTACCAAATTCTCTGTATTGATAAACGGACAGCCAAAGGGTTATTTTCAGGGGAAACGAGGGCTTCGACAAGGTGATCCAATCTCGCCTTATCTATTTGTGCTAGTGATGGAATATCTCACAAGGAAATTGAAGGAGTTAGATATGTAGGAGAAGTTTAAATATCATAGTAAGTGTCAAGTGATGCAACTTACGCACTTGATCTTTGCAGATGACATTATGCTCTTTTGTAAGGCTGATGAGGAGTCCATTGTATTGATAATGCAAAAGTTTGAGGAGTTTGCTCGAGTTTCTGGGTTGGAAGTGAATAGAATGAAGAGTCAGGTTTTCTTCAGTGGTGTTAGAGAAGGGCAGAAAGTTGCTTTAATTCA